AGGGAGAGCGGCCGGTGAGTCACGCGTGTTCCCCCAGCCCCCAAGTCTGACTCAACCAAGGTGATGAGAGAAGAGGGAGAGACTGCCCGTCGTGCCAGGGAGCCCCCTGGGCAATGTGCCCACGTGGGCCACAGGGCGGATCCTTCCAGTGGCAGAAACTGGGAGAACCCTGCCCAGAGCAGCCAAGGGGAAACGTGACCAGGGAGGTGGGCAGGGAGGTGGGCAGGGAGAGCAGGGAGCCAGCCAGGAAACCCTGCAGCACTGGGCGCAGAGCAAGCCTGGGGAGCTGGAGGCCTAGGAAGCGGAACAGCAGGGAAACTGAGGCACTCCCTTGGAGGAGCTGCCCTGGCACGGGGTGAAGGCGCTGCAGCCCGTGCACTTCCATAAAGAGGAGACCTGCCCTGCAGGCCTGGGACGTACATTCGCCCTCTGCCCCGGTGCCCCCTTAATGTCAACCTTCCTCAACTTTGCCATCCTTATAGAGCCAGGCAGCTTGAGCCAGAGAGCCCCCGACTCAAGCTGTGTGATGACTGAAACTAGGGAATATTCTGGGACCTCATAGGTGAATCATTCTGCCTTATTCCTCTTCTCTCCCCAAGCCCAGTGGGAAGGAAGGACAGTGGACATCTTTGAGGACTTTCTCCCCAAGGGCACCACGAGGGCAATCCCTCTTATGATCCCAGAAAGAAGTTTTGTTTTGTTTTGGCGGGGGCGGGGCGGGGGGAGTGCTCGTGAAAGGGGCCCATCAGTGATTTCTTTCCCTTCTGGTTAGGTAGGGAGGGGGATGGGCAGAGAAGAGACCAGAAGCAGAAAAGGGACCTGTTGTGTGGGGCGTAGGAGGGGGGAGCTCCCGGGGCCCTGATAGTGACAGCTGAGGTATAAATAGATTGGGTCCTGCAGCTCATGTTCTGTCGGCTGCCTGTGACAAGGTACTCAGGAATTCCACGCCTGTTGGCACCCCCTTCTCTCTGTCTCCAGAATCCTCATCCCCCCTTTGCCACCTTCATCCTATGGCCCAAGCCAACTGTCCACCTACTAGAGACGCTGAACCCTCCTGTGGAGAGATGCCCAGCTCCTGGGGGTACATGACACGTAGTAGGTCTTACCAGGGAACTGTGTGTGTGAGTGTGTGTGTGTGTGTGTGTGTGTGTGTGTGTGTGTGTAAAGTCAGACTTCTGACACTCAATCTGAGGTGCTGGCTCAGAGTTCAGTGATGTTGACTTCCAAGCCTTAATAAAGAAGCTGAGGTACACATTTGAGAAAGGATGGTTACCTTCCCTGAGCTGCTGGGAGGGAAAGAGAGGGGTGAGGTGGGTTTGCTTGGAGCTGACAGCCCCTTTACAGCGAGCTCCCAATGGCTCACAGTCCTGTTTGTGGGCGTTACCTGAGGTCCCCCTTACCTGAGGTCCCCCTTACCTGAGGTCCCCCTTTGGTTGAGGGCAGACATTAAGGAGGAGGAGCTCAGAGGGAAGCAGGGAGTAGAGAAATAACTCCCTGTATAGCCTCGCCTGCTCTCACCCTCTAGCCACAACCTCCCCCCCCCCCATTCTCTCTCTCCAGGAGGTCTGTGCAGGCCCCAGGGAGGGAGTGAATGGTCCACAGAGGAGGATTCCTGGTGCCAAGGATGGTTCCCGGCACCCTTCTCACCCTCCCTCCCCCAGAAACCTGAGCCTGTTGCTCTCCAGGATAAATCGGGGCCTGACTCAGGCCCCAGCCAGCCAGTCCCTGTCAGCCTGACCCAGGCGCAGGCCGGTGACTCAGCCCTCAATATAGCCCATGAGCCCAGGCCGGCCATACGGCTGGAACAGAGCGTGCACAATGCTGGTCCTGGGGTCTGCCAAGTGGGGCCCCCTCCCTGAGGAGGGCTGATGTGTTCCTCCAAAGCCAGCCCGGGGCACAGAGTGGGGTTTACAGGGGGTTTCATCAGCTAAGTATCTGGGGCAGTGCTGGCTGCGGCCATAGGCCGTTTATAGCCCCCTGACTCACCACCCGCTGACCTGTCTCAGGAGACCTGGTTGTCTGGCCTTTCACCTGGCCCTGCCTCTCCCATCAAGGGGCACTGCTGGTCAGCCACCAATGCTGGCCATATTTAACTTGCACCGGGCAGAATCTGAGTGAGTGGGTACCGTGGGCCATGTTTGAAAATTCAATATTTCTGGAACCAGCGGCATTTCCACAGTCACTGTGATGATACCTGGCTGGCCAGGTTCAAGGCAGACCCTTGGACCACTCAGTGATACTGATGTGGCCCTGACCCAGGTGATAGAGTAAGAAGATCTGGAGACTGAATGCCAGCCTCCCTACCTGTGACTCTGTAACCTCGGGCAGATGGAGTAACTCTTTGTGGCCTCAGTTTTCTCATCTGTAAAATGGAGTCAATAGTACTGCCATAGGGCTTTTTAAAAAAAAAATGTGTGAAGATGAAAGGAGATCACTTTTAAAATTATTAGTGTGGGGCCTCCTTGGTGGCGCAGGGGTTAAAGTCTCCGCACTATCAAGCTCCACTGCAGCATGAGGTGACCCACACGGCGCAGCAGACCTCTCCTCTTGCCCGCTGCTCCCCTCTGCAGCGTATTTCAGTGGATCTGCCTGTTCTGCTCCCTACTCTGTCTCTGGTGAATCTTCTCACCCCCCCGCACCTATGGCCTGTACCCCAGCTCTTGTATGCATAAATAAAAATAAAACTTTAAAATGATTAGCGTGGAGTCTGACCCTGCTGGCATCTTGGGGACCCTCCACAGCGATAGACAGGCCTCTGGCTGCCCTGCCCCAGGCCGCCGGCTGCTCACCTGGCACGCCGTACTCTAGCCTCGTGCCTCCAGCTCGCACCTTGTGGGCACCGCCTTCACCCAGAGGCCCCACTGTGAACTGAAAGGGGCTGCCGGGAGCTAGGCCTTCCTCACTGCTCTCTCTATGGATCTCCACGCTGCTGCCTTCTTCGCACCCTGCATCCTGACACTCTGCCTGCCAGAATCAGCCACCCACCCTGCCCTCCAACGGCAGCTTGCCCTTGGTGGGAGTGGCAAATGGGGTGCAATCACATGGCCGGGAGGGGAAAGTTGAAGGGCTGCTGTGCAGGGAGAGAGCAGAAAGAAAGCAGCTGCACAGTCGCAGCCAAGTGGGTAGAGGCCCCTGAGACCTTGGTTCTCTCTGGTCCTCAGCCTGGGTGCCTGCCTGCCTGTGCCTTCTAAGAGACCCCCTGTGGACGTGAGGCTCAATGGCTGTTCCCCCTTCCACCCAGAGAGGCCTCTTAAATCTGCTCTGCTAGGTGAGCCAGCAAGGCCAGCAGGCACAAAGCCCAAACCAAGAGGGTGGTCTCCATCACAGGCAAAAGTTGGGGTGAGTGTCCGAAAGCGAAGAGCTCTGTATTTTAGGCAGAAGGGCCGGGGAAAAGGAGGCTCACTTGGTCACTTTGCTCTCCTTTCCCAGGTTCTAGGCTCTAGCCTGGGAAGAACCAGATAAAGTCCCGACGGGGGCCAGCAGCCTCCACGTCACAAGGACCGGACCCCCATTCCAAGTTAAGTCAGCGATGCCCTGTGGTAGGGATTCTTCCAGGCCTTTCCACTGCCCGTTCTCCAGGCGGCCAGAGAAAATCAGGTGAAAGCAGGGTCTCGCTGCGCTCAACGGCAAGGGGCCAGAGGCCCCAGGCGGTGGTGAGGGAATTTCTTTAATTAGATTACAGCTGAGGACACACAATCTAATGTAACTGAGCCCATTATTTATCGTGCAGCTAATCAACCGGGGATGTTGTTAAAATGCAGATTCTGGGTCAGCAGGCGCGAGGGGGGCCTGACATGTGCCTTTCCAACAAGCTGTGGATGCTGATGTGGCCGGTCCGTGGCCCACACTTTGCGTGGCAAGGGACTGGACCGCCCTAAGTCAGCCGTGTCTTCAGAGGCGCCCTGTGGAGGGAGGCGGAAGGGAGCGTGGCACTGCCCCTCCATCTGCCTAGGCACACCCTGTTTCCAGGGGCTGGTTGCAATTTTAGCACTGGCCCCAGGCCTGCTAGGAGGCACTCTTAATTCAGCCCTGTCATTCCTCTGGGCCACACATAATTTTTAAATCTCCTAATTGAAAAAGTTCTCGCTGCTGCCACTAAGACTGGGACTGGTCCACACTGCAGACACGTGTTGCTCCGGATAATTGGGTGAAGGAAACAAACTCCTTTGGCATCAGGTGGAAGGGAGGCAGGAAGAGGGTCCCAAGGAGACCCGTAGTCATGGCGACCGCTCTGTCATCTTGGTTTAGGAAGACACTTGGGGGCTTCCGTATGGAAATAGACAAAGGCTCCCGCAGCAGTGAAGGTAAAGGACACTCACAAATCCTCATCGTTCAGATCCCATCCCCATCCCTGGCCTGCTCTGAGCCCCTCTGCTCTCTGGCCCCTAGTTGGGTTCACCTGTGAGAAGCACCACCAGGGAACTAGCACGTGGAAGAGGGTGGGGGGGGGACACTCCCTTGCTAGGGGTGCCTGTGCAGCCCCAAGGGTACCTTGCCAGGCCTCCAGCTCCTGCTTCCTCCCCTCCCTCCAAAAGGCCTGGCAGCTGGGGACCTCACTGCTTCTAGGTGTTTCTCCTAACTCTGCTGCTGCACTTCGGCCCTTCATTGCACGCTCCCCGTGAGAGCTGTGTGCGCCGCCAGGACCCCGAGGGACGACCACGTCAGCGCTGAGAGCGAGTCCCCTGGATCAGTCATGCAAACTAAGGCTCACCCCCAGATTGGCACAGTAGACGAGCGGGCCCCGGACGTAGGGTGGGTTGTTTGGCCCCTCACGCACGATACCCAGTTCGTTCCATTCGCCTGCGCCACGTGAGTTTCCTGAGACAGGGTCAGCGTGCGCAGACGACCCCTCCGCAGCTCAGCGGGCAGCGCGGGAGCCGCCCGGTTATCAGGTGAGAAATGTTTAGACGCTGGCCCCCGTGTGAAGTACCTGGCTAAAGGGGTTCTGGTTGTGTTGTGAGGCACTGAACAAATAAAAAACCACACAGTCTCATGTAATTCAGTTGATATTTAATTACAAGGAACCCAGTTTCTCATACAAGGCAGGAGATGGGAGCCTGCAGCTCCCCATGAGCCTTTCCAGCCTGGGTGACTGAGGCCAGGGGGCTGGGGACACAAGGAACATACAGGTGGGGCAGGTGCTCTGGCACAGTGTGTCCTGCCCAAAGCTGAGGGTAGTGGCCACTGGGGATGCACCCCCTCGAATGGCCGGGTCTGCCATCACTCCATGAGGCAGAAATCTGTCTCCTGCGGTCGCATGTTGGGTAACACATACAGAGCCACAGCTGCAATAGCCAAGAACACCACAGGCTTCCACATCCCAAACATGTTCTGTGGGGACCAAAGGCAAACAGTGAGTGCCCAGCCTTCTGAACTCTTCCCTGAGTCAGATCCCCCTTCCTGCTGGTGCCGGCCAGAAGACAGCGCTGCGACATCACGGCCTAGGCCCCCGCACCGCCTGGGAACCACTGGCGACAGCGTGGCCTTAGTCCCGGCACCACCAGACACCCTGGACAGCACTGCCTGAACTCATGCCTCAGTTTCCCTCTCCTTGAGGAACGAGAAACACGCGGTTCCTGTGCGCAGACGCAAGCGCAGGGGTCAGGCTTCAAAGAACACCCAGCTGGTGGGGGCAGGAAGGATGGGGGGCTACAGCAAGAAAGACAGGGGTACACTCGGAACTCTGGGGACAGCAGCAGCACCTCACTAGCTTATGGAGCATGAACTCAGAGACAAGAGGATGCGAAAGGGGGTAGAGATGGAGGCGGGAGTAGAAAGTACAGGCTGGAACCGGGCAGCCGCGAGGCTCTTGGGGAGCTCAGGGCCTTTGTGGAGAGTGATGTGGGTTCATGGAAATTCCAGCAGCCTGTCACTGGCCCTGGGGGGCAAAAGCCAGGGTCACTAAAATACCCCCTTGACTGGGGGTGTCGGCGGACTTCCTGAGCACTTGTGGAGTGTGCTGAGGACAACAGAGAACGTGAGGGAAGGGGACGTCTCAGACCAGAAACTACATCCTTGGAAAAACAGCTCCTGTTTTTAATTACTTTTTTTACCGATGACTTGAAAGACAGCGTTTGGGTGGGAGCCGTAAGCCCAAGCAGCAGAAGAGTTTTGGGGAGGACAGAGAGGAGAAGGCACGTGCACTCTCAGGCCTCAGAACGAGGATTTTAAGTCCACTCTCAAGGGAAAGCTGCGGAGGCAGGTGGCAAGAAGATGTGAGCCGGAAGCCAGACAACGCTGGAGGTGGACGCAGCGCATTTCATCTACAAGAATACTGAAAAGGGAGTGGGAAAAAATATTTTGCAATGCTCAGAAGCTTCCATCCTAATTGCACTGCTGAGCATGTCAGCCTGATACTCTCAGAGGAGGAAGAGCCGCAGCCCGAGAATGCGGACTGGCCTGGAGGAGCAGAGGATGGTCAGGGAGTCGCCAGGGGTCAGTCACGTCAGCTTTCCTTTCAGACTGGGTGACTCAGTTGACAGGTCGGGGAAAGCTTGTGTTTAGACTTAATCAAGGTATCCGGTGAGCATTTCTGTGACGTCCTGGGAGGTAATCTGAGGAAAGGACAGCAGCAGGGTGACAGCAGTGTGTGACCACTTGCTCAGTGGCGAAAGCGCCTGGGGAGGTGACACTCGAGGCTCAGCGCGCGCCGGGGTGGGATGAACACGCGAAGGTGGGCTCGTCGCCCTCACCCCTGAGGAGGCTGTGAAGCGTGTAGGGAAAGTGAATCGTTTGAACCACAAACCCTCCTTGAACCATGGGGTCGAGAATATTTCAAAACCCCAAACTGGCGGGTTACATCAGTGGACTAGGTTCACTAGGGCTGAAAAGAAAATTCTGTATTAGATTTTAAAAAATCAGCAGCGGGCTGAGGATGGGGAGCGGGCACGCGACAGGCGCGGGGGCTCACGGCGCGGGGCGATGACTAACATGGCCCGAGTTCCCGAGAGAGCCGACAGGATCCGAGGCCGCATGAGCCCAAGCACCGGGTCGTCTGAACTACTCGGAACCAACCAGGAGGCATCGTTCAAAATGAGGAGAGATGATACGGGGCAAGAGGCCTGGAATTCTCTTAGCCACTCATACTAAGTCCTTAGACCCTGGTTCCTCGCTGCTGGTGGTGTCAGGCGACCTCTCGATGCCTTAGTTTGCGCGCACACTGATGGGACAGGATGACAGGAGCTGCCCCGCCGGGGCTGCGGCCGGGCCGAGTGAGCTAACATGGCCAGGGTACCTCGGGGCCGGGCTCAGCTGTGCATGGTGTGAGCGCGCGCTCTCGTGTCACCTGCGCGGCGGTGATCACGGAGGGAGTGTTTCCACACACCAGAACGCATCACATCTCACAGAGACCCTGTGAGGATGGAAGAGGTTTTGCCATCCTTTGCTTACATTTGAGGAAACTACGTCAGATAATGCATTTCGTCCGCCGCGCCAAAGCCTGTGAGAAGCAGAGACGACTCGACCAGGTTCTCTGCTCACTCATCAGCCATCAGCTGCACCTCCCACTGTCCCAGGGCCGGGGAGGGGGGGAGGGGGAGACACAGGCTTGGGGGAGCCACACACGTGGGGCACAGGCAGGCTCTGGCTCAAAGGGGCCCTAGCTCTGAGGGCTGGCTTCCTTGCTCTAGCTCTGCTGGGCCCTCACTGAGTTTGAACTGGAAAGAGATGATGACTGAATGCTTAGGGTGTCACCCCCCAGGGAGCACCTGGGAGTGCACAGGGAGGAACGGGTATAGGGAGAGACCTCTGCCCTGAAGGAGAGAAAGACTGTCCCTGGGGAATAACTGGACTCCTTAAAAGAAAGAATAAAGGTAACGGTTGAAGAGGGGAAAAAAAGTGAAGGGGGGGAAGGGAAGAAGAGCAAAGGAAAAGGTGCTAAGCACTGCCAAGATCCCTCAGCTGCCACTGGGGAGAAGTATGCACCAAATCCCAATCCACTACATTCCCTTTCCTGGGGTGTGAGAAGTGAGCCACGGGGCGGGGGGGTGGGGGGGGGGGGGGGTGGCAGGGGGTCGGTGGGGGGGGGCCTACGAAAGGAGTCGAAACAAGCCAAGAGAGGACAGCTTGTGGGTTCCAGAAGGCAGGTGGAACCCTAGGCGTGTATCTTGGACGGTGAGCCCATATTCTGCCTCTGGAATTTGGTGTCCTGCTGACAGAGTAGATTATGTGGCCTAAGGCCAACCAGAAGGTGCCCAGACTCCATCAACCTTGGTTCCCTGAGAACACGCGCACCTCTGGTTTGCAGAAACTCTTAGTCTGCCCCACTAAGGAATCAACAGAGAACTATAAAATATTCCCTGGCATTCTTGTTATGATTTTTCTAGAAGCCAGGAGTCCCAAGCCAGAGAACTTTCCAGTAGAAAATACAAAAAGTATGGTAGGGGTTTCAGTTTCATTGTCCCCAAGGCTGAGGGACAGAGTGAGGCTGCCCACACCAAGTGACCCTGGTTGATGTCAGCTCTCTAGACCTCTTCTCTCACCCAGTGGGCGAGGCAGTGACTCCTTATTTCACAGAGCAACAGTAATGAGAACTTGGCTCTGGAGTTAAACAGACAAAGAGACCCAGGCTGGCCTTGCAGACAAACATCAGCCCGTCAGAAGTCATCAGGCAGCCCTGAACGTAGCAATAGTGCTGGGATCCTCCAGATTTTTCCCAATCAGAGAACCAAAATGCAAACCACGTCAACAGTAAGGACACCAATTCCTTATGTGTAAGGAAGACAAGCTCGGAGACGTCACAGGCTTTGTAGTAAAAACCAGGACTAAAACTCAGGCCGGAGTATCACCTGCTATGAAATCGAAACATCAAGAAGCCAGCAGCTAAGAGAAAAGGGGAGGACAGGCCAGGGCACCTGCACCCTCCCTCCGTCCCTGAGAAGGAGAGGATGCGATCCAGTACCTGCATTAGGACGACGTCTCGGCCCACCAGCACCAGAGCAAAGCCGATATGACCACCAGGCCTACAAGAGGCAGGGAGAAGATGGGGGGGTTGGAGGCAGGGGATGGCTGAACAGATCAAATGAGGAAGCAGCACGAGGAGAGGCCGGGAGACGAGAGGTGGCACAACAAGACATAAACGCATGAATCCAACACATAATGAAGATGAGAAAACAAAGGGAAAAGAGAAAGAGATCAAGAGGTTACACACAGGTAAGCAGCGCAGCGGGGGTTTCTTCTCTGCTGCCCGGGCCTGTGCCTCCCGCTGGGAGCCTGCAGACACGCAAAAGGCAATGGGTGATGCGGCAGGCAGCTCGGGTCCAAATCAGGTGGGGAGTCCAGTTTCCTGGCTCGTCATACCCCTCATCTCCCGCGAAGCAAGGGTAGTCTGTGCCGAGACCTTCTGGCAGGGCAGCCACTCTGGAAGTAGCGGCTCCAGAGAAGAAAGCTGGGCTCTCTGAGATGAGGGGGACCTGGGTCCCAGGTCACTCCAGGAAGAGCCAGTCTCCCGCAGGCCGCCTGTTCCTTCGTTGGCCTGTCTGTGCAAGACTCTGCTGGCCTCTGGGCCCCGAGATCCCCTAGCAGCCTAATGCCTTCCGGGTGAGGCACAATCCGCTAAAGCAAGCTAACAATGAAGATGGGCTGATTCTTTGACTACAACAATCTTCCAGAGAGGAAATGTGTCTACAGGCGGTAACATGGAAAGGGTGGGGGGAGCTGCCTGCAAAAGATGCAGGACCCCAGGGGTGGGGGGCGCAGAGGGACGGAGGCCTCCATACCTACACACAAGAAATGCACTTGACGCTGAAATGCAAAAATCAGGCCTGGTGTTTAGAAACATGGCGCCCAAGGCAAGGAATCGGAGGCTCGACCAGCATACGGTGGAATATGATAAGCTCAAAGAAATAGAACACCAGGGAAGGGGCTGCAGCTGCTTCTATTTTTACCCATCCTGAGTGGTCCCCTGCCTTGGGTTAGCAGAGGCTGGCAGGCTGGACCCCCAGCCAGTGCTGCGGATTGCACTGCCGGGAAATTCCAGAGAGCCTTACCGTAGGCTGGGAGGTCCCACACTAGAGACTAGTTTTTATTCTCCATGTTTAGAGGAACAGAGAGAACTGTCCTATAAACAGCACCAGCTGTCAAAATACAGGAATACTTTTGTAGAGTGGTAAGTCACCCAGGATTCTCCCACCCCCACCTCTCCGGATCAGCAACTGAAGGGTGACTCTGGCTGGTCAGTGCCCCTGCTGGGCAGGCTGAAGTATTTGGCCTATCACTCCTGATGTCCGCAGGCCCCACCCTCATGCCCCGTGGCCACCACCAATGTCCCCACACCCCACAGCCCCACAGCAGCAACCAAGGTCAAAGCCCACAGGCACTGCGGGAAGGCAGGGCTGAGAGAGTGCACAGGCTGACAGAAATGTCCTGAGGAAGGTCTTGCGCTTCAGTGTCCTTCATGGGGCACTAAGGAGAGGCAGCGGGGCCACTCCTGACCAGGGTCAGGTAAGTGAATGGAGGTGGGACCCCAAAGACCTCGCCTTGTGGCCCTCAGGGAAAAGGCCTGTTTGGGTGTCAAGGGCTCCTCAGCGCATTGCTCTCAGCCTGCCATTTCCCTCAGAGGGACTGCGGTCTCCAGCCGCATCTGTGTCTCAGAGTTCACTGGCCTCTACTCCTGCAGAAGTGCACCCTAGGGCCCGGTCACCTGAGCACGGGGGCACCAGAGCGCAAGAGCCCATTTCCGCTTGGTGCCACCTTTAGCGGTGGTTACCTTTTTACTCTCAGAAACCTTGAGGGCGTTGTTTTCCTCAGAAGTTTCAGGGCAAGGGTCGTCACCCTTGTCTCCCTGGTCACCATCCTTGTCTCCCTGGTCATCCTCATCTCCCTGGCCATCATCCTTGTCTCCCTTGAGGTCTCCCTCATCGTTGTCGTCGCCAGCCTCGTCTTTGTTGTCATCCTCCTTCCTTTCTTGCTCACGCTCCTGGGGATCTTCGAACGCTTCCTCCTGATCTTCCGTGCCCTTAGCTCCTGCAGGAGCTGGTGTCTCAGAAACGAGTTCATCCGGGGATTCCTCCGCTTCCTCTTCAATTTCCTTGTTTTCCTCCTCTGCCTCCTCCACGCCCTCTGCCTGGTCCTCTCTTGTCAGACTATCTAAATCCGTTTGGGAGGCCTTGTAGTACAGCACCACCTCCAGACTCTGCGGGGCGGAGGCAGGGCGGGATGGGGGAAGCTGTTACCTGCGGGGAACCCTACCCTGGGGCCAAGCTGCCCATCAGGAGAGCCCGGCGTCTCACCACCACCGGGCGGGGGCAGCACTGAGTCCCGGGCCTGGGAACTGGCCTGACTGAGCCTGGTGTGGCGGACAGCCACTCCCGGCCTCTCTGGACCTGGACACCTATTAGGTCGCTTGCCATTTCAAACAGCTGCCAGGGTCGAAGGCTGTCAAGCCCCCACCTCATGTGACCCAGGAAGAACAGGGACCCCCCCCCCAAAACTGGGCTGGGCTGACTCTGGAAGGAGTCCGGCCTCGGGGCTGTGGAGCTTTGGGGCTGGACCCCCGTACGAGTGGTCTGTACTCTATACTCTCCCCCTAGCTTCGCAGGAGAAGAGAGCACCAAATTTCCCCTCAGATGGAATGAGTCCATTGTAGACACCTTAGAGCTCCCAGAAGCTTCCCTGCAAATACTTCACCTGGTTGAAATGTGACGGAATGACTCTTCGCAGGACTGCCTCTGCCTCTGCTCACCTGGCTACTGAGACCCCTACTCACCTTCCCGGTCTCACAGCTGGCCTCAGAACTTTCTGGGGCGGACTTGGTCTCGATTTTATCTTTAGCCCCGTTGGCATTCTTGTTCATGTTCTTGCTGCCATTCCTCCCACTGGTAACAGAGGACGACCTTCTCTCCTTGAGCTGGCGGAGCTCTTCCTGGCAGCACTGCAGCTGCCCCTCCAGCTGCTCCTGCACCGCCAACAGCCGGCCCTGCTCGTCCATGCTCGCCTGGTACTGCAGCTGCAGCTCCCGGAGCTTGGCCTGCAGTTCTTTAATCTGCGGGCGGCGGAGGGCCAGTTACCATGCCCGACCAAGGCGGTCAGTCTGGGCCCTGCCTGGGGGTCACTGCCTCGGAAATCCCTCAGAATGCTCTACAGTTTCACATATAGCTTCTACCAAACTTGAGGGACCTAATGATTTACATTTAAAATGACCCAAAAAGGATGACTGAAATTCTGCCTTTTTCACTGGACAGCTCTGGGATCCGAACCTCAGCCTTTCTGCTGTAGCTCTCCCTGATGGGCGCTCCAACTTTAAGAGGGAGTGATGGAGCGGTGCTGGGAGCACACCTGGGCACCTCGCCCTTGCCAGAGACAAGCTCCCACCCTGCCCTTGACCTCAGATTCTGTCTCTCCTGCCTCTGTCAGAGCCCCAGGCTCTCCTGGAGAGCCCCGGTACTGAGGTGATAGCTCTGGGGACCTCGCCATACTACACAGCGGCTCCCCTGGACTGAAGACCACTGCTCTGCTCTCGGCCAGAGACAATGCCTCTTGCCCACTGCCAGTGGGTGCTGAGCCCTCTCCTTGGCATTATGAGATCCACAGGAGGAGACAGGCCCTGGCCTTAAGGTGTCTGCAGTCCAGCTGCAGAGACAGAGTGCCTAAAGGAAACTAAAGGGCAGGTGAAAAAAGAGCTCTGCAGAAGTGCCCCCAGGGCACACGGCAAAAGGGAAGACAGAGGTGGCAAAGAGACAAAAAGGGAAATGATTCAGAGGGGAGTCTTGGTCAGAGAGACTTGCCAGGGCTGAGAGAGAGGGCCCGAGGAAGCCGAACCCCAGCACCGTGGGCACCTGAGGTGCAGCAGACGGCCCAGACCCCGGGATCCTGCCTGGCTGACAGCTGACTGGTGCCTGTCCCTCTCCCAGCCTCTCTGGCAGGGCTCTGCCTCCAGGGACTCCTAGAAGAACCCTGCCTCCCTACGCGGTTACCTCGTTCTTGTCACTCTGGGAGGCCGCAGGCTTCTCAGCGCCCTCCATGCACTCCATGCACTCCCTGAACTCCCTCTCGCAGGCGTCCAGCTCCTCCTTCAGGTCCTTCTGCTGCTCCAGCAGTGTGGCCATGCGCTCCTGCAGCTGGCTGTGGTCCTCCTGGCTGAGCTGGTACATGGCCTGCACTGTCTGCAGCTTGCTCAACACCTTGGCAACCATGTCCTCAAAGTTCTGGGGGGCAGGGGCGGGAGCGTGAGGAGGCACCCCGAGGAGCACAGCCCTCCGCCCCAGTCTTCGCTGGGCCTTTCCTTGGGTACAAAGCAGGGGCCACCAGGCCCGAAGCTGCCCGGGAGTACAGTTTTCTTCCCATAAGAGCTCCGTGACTGTGCGGATGAAACTTCCTGGACCTCAGGCCTCCCTCCAGGTGGGAGCAGCCCTATGTGAGGGGATGGAGGGGGGAGGCAAGGGGCGCCAGGGGACAGAGCACCTCACTCGCTGCCAGCTCTGACCTCCCTGCCCACCTCACTTCTCGTGCCCTTCTCAGCACAGGGCGGGCCTTCACTGCCCACCTGTCACCTGGCTATTGTTACCTCCACATCTTTGGGCTCGGCGGGCTCCACCTCCTCCGTGCTGCTGCTCACGTAGCTCTTGTGACAGGTGTCGGCACTGGTGCTGCTGCTGCCGTAGCTCTTCTTATAGCTGACGTTGCTGCCGCTGCTGGCGCGGGAATCCTCACAGGACTCGCTGGCGCTGGAGCTGCTGCCATAGCTCTTGAGGAAGCTCTCCTCACTGGCCTGGCTGCTGGAGTAGCTCCGGAGGTAGCTCTCCTTGGCGTCGATGCTGCTTTCGTAGCTGCGCTGATAGCTGTCGCAGCTGGGGGCTGCGCTGGCGGCCGCCTCAGCACCACTGCTCTTCTTGTAGGAGTCGAGGGTCATTTTTATAGAAGGGGACTGGACTTGGAGCAGCTGCATTTCCTCCAGGCAGAGCTGCAGATCAGCCTGCAGCCTCTTGCGCTCCTCCAGGAGCCGCCCCTGCTCCTGCTGCAGCAGCTCCTGCTCCCTCTGGCTGGACTCGTATAGCTCCTGCAGAGCCTGTATCTGCTCCATGATCACCTTGGACTGCCAGGGGCAGGCGGGGAGACACAACTGTTACTCGACACTGCAGACCCAGCCGCACCCGTCCTGGTGCCAAGGGCTGAGGGCACTTTGGACACCTGCAGGCCTACAGTCCAGTCGCGCACAGGCGGTCTTCAACTGAGCCTACAGGTAACCGGCCCGCTGGGCTGCTGGCTCACTGGGGAAAATCTCCCTGGGGCAGGGCGGAAATCTCATGATTCCTGCGCTCCCTTTTCTGCTGTGTCTGCTCACTGCTACATCCCTCTCTCCTGGAGGAGTGCTGAGGAGTGGCTCTCAAGAACACTGGCTCCCTACCCCACCCTATTTTCAATGGGGTGTACCCATTATTCTGCTATTTAGGCTCAGCCCCTCCCCACTCCACCAATCCTAAAATCAGCCCTGGCTTTGCATGAGCATATAAAACATTCCTTCCCCAGAAGTGGAGTTGGAATCCGGGTCTTACTACAAGTCCCTCTATCTCCTGTCCTAATCCTAAATCTGGACTCTGACCAGGTTTCCTAAGCTCCTGCATCTGGCCGCTGATGCCCAGGGTGAGATCTGATCAGTGAAATACTTTATACCTGGTTCCTCATCTCTGTGTCACCCAGGCTTTCAGTGTGCATATCTGACGTCCCTGGCCTTGGACCAACTCCCTTTGGGCCTCTACTATGCCCTGGTTCTTCCAATCCAGGCTAACATCTGAATGAATATATTTAGCCTAAATGAAAATTAACGACTGGCTCTTCCTTGCCCACACTGAGACCTCAAGGCCAAATTCATCCCCCAACCCTGGACAGAACTGTATGGAGATCTCCACCAGTGTGACCTCAGAGGCATAACCACTACTAGTGCTTGACATGCGATGACTTGCTAGTCTGACCCCAATGACCTGGCTGTTATTTGCCACCAAAGTTCCAATGAAGACAGTGTGGTCAGTAGCCAAAACCTTGCATGCTGAGAATTCTAGTCTTGGCAATGAATAGTCCCAGGTTTGCCTCATGGAGAACACCAAAAAGTGGTAGATTTTGACCACTGAAAACTGTGCTTCTCATTGATCTATGGGCTCATGAGAAAAGGAGGACGTGTTTAAGAATTGACGCCGGGAACCCAAGCAAACACTAAACTTGGCATTGTACATCTGGAAAATGACACGTGGCAGGGACTGAGCCACATGATCAAATTACAGGCTTCCCTGTCCCAAGTTCTTCAACCTGGGGTACCTCTGGCCAAGATCAGGAGGCCCGCGAGGTGACAGCCTCATCTGTACGCCTGACCACATGGCCTTGCTCACGCTGGCCCATGCGCGCAGCCCAATTCCTGCCAAGCTGCTGTCCCCAGAACTGTGTCCTTGCCTCTCGGTTACCTTGTTTTGAGCATAGTTTGAGGACTTGGACTGTTTGGGATCCTCGGTGTTTTCCTGCACTTCCCGGAAATGAGAGTCTTTGAAATCGTGCAGCTGTTCCTGCAGCGCGAACTGTTCTTGTACTAGATTTTCTTGATTCTGGATCAGTCTCTTCTGTTTCTCCTGCATGCCTTGGTAGAGCAGCTGTAGTTCGACCAGCTCGTGTAACTTTGCAAGTAGCTCCTGACTCTGTGAGGTAGAGTGGAAGGAAGGAAGGAAGGGGGCAGGAGCCATGGTGGTTCTGGGGGAGACCTCTACCTCTTCCTGCAGGTGCCCCTGCCTCAGGAACCTCTGCCGGTTCTGGACCCAAGAGGGGGGCAGGGGTTGGCCTCGGTGGTGTATGTTTGGATACATTTTCTAGTTTACAAGCTGCTTTCAAGCACATTTTCTCCAGATGCACCAAGTATCTAAATATAAAATGCTGTGCAGATTTCAGAGCGCAAAAATAGGTTTTAAGATAGACAATCCTAATCAGCTACATTGAACTGCTGGGTTGGAGGAGAATGGTGAGAAAGAAAGAAGTAGTTGGGTAAGAAAAGAAAACGTTCGTTCCCTATATGCTTCCTTCCCAAGCACAGTCAGCCCTGGGAAGCAGCTTCTCCAGTGCCAGCCGCCGTGCCCGTGCCCGGCTGTGGTTACCTTAAGGCAGAGCCCAGATTTGGGTATGGGGAACGTGAGCCTGTGTAGTTCTTCTTGCAGCTGGCCCTGCTCCTCCTGCATCCTCCTCTGGTTCTCCAGGAGCTCGCACTGCTCCATCTGCAACTGCCCCATCTCCTTCTGGCTGGCCTTGTACCTGTCCTGCAGCTCTGTCAGTTTGGTCAGCAGTGCGTCACACTGTGGGCAGGCGGGTGTGGAGGCCGGTTAACTCTGTCAGGTTGGCTGCCTGATGTCCCTCTGCACTCTGCCCGTGCGATTCAGCTGGTAGGGAACCTCCCTGTAGGGTCCCCTTGAATGACTGTCTCGAGGGGCTCACACTGAGCCCCCACAGGACTGGAAGTGAGGGGGGAAGCAGGCTGCTCGGGACTGCACCTAGAGTACTAAATCTCTTCTGCTGGTCCTTCTGAGGGAAGCTTGAGGAAAGTTACCTCACTTTTCCACCTGCCTTGTCTTTGTCCCTTCCTTTGGTACAATACCATTTTCCCAGGGTGCTGGCCATTCTAGCTCCTGTTACTCTCATTTATGTCTAGGGATTTGAGGCCTTATGAAGTCCCTTATGAGCACGACTTAATTTTAAGCTAGTTCTCCTGCCGCCATTTTTGTTTTTATGATCATCTTTTAAAAATCTTTAGAGGGCCTCCCCAGTGGCGCAGTGGTTGAGCTCTGGGCAGCGAAGATGCCAGCAGCCTCTGCAGCGCCAGTTCAATCCCCGGCCGCTGGTGAGGGTCCCACATGGCGCACAGACCTCTCCTGCTGCCCGCTGCTCCCCTCAGCAGTGTATTTCATCAGTCTGCCTGTTCTGTTCCCCGCTCTGGCTCTGGTGAATTCTCTCACCCTCCCGCGCTTCTGACTGTACCCAGAGCTTGTATAAATAAATAAATAAATCTTAAAAAAAAAAAAGAAAAAACTTTAGAAAAGTATCAGCTCTTGCTGAATTGGGGTTGAAAAGATTGAGTCACCCCGTGACTCCCAATACCCTAGCTTTCTAATATCAAACTAACCTCAGTGCTGTTTTATGACCAGAGAAAAAGCTGGCTCTGTTACACCAGCAGGCTTCTCCCTTCCCCTTCACGAGGACAGCGGGTGCTGGGCAAGTCATGAGTCTCCTGGGTCCCTAAATTGTGTGGGACTTGGGGAAAAGGAGGCATGGGCCTGGGTGTAGGAAGGCAGATGGACCATTGGGGTGGCCCAAATGGCCCCCAGTTCTGTGTCAGGTGGCCTTTTCCTGGGGTCACAGGCTGCTGGTGGCCCCAACAGGAGCCACTGCCATTTTGCTGGACGTAACCTGCTCTCCTGTCTTTTGAGAGTCCCGCACCCCTCTCCATCTTGCTTCAGCACCTTTTCATTCCCTATCAGTAGTTGGGAGCTGAAGCTGCTCAGCACAGGCTCCCCAGTAATGAGCTGCATCTCATACACCATGGAAAAAATGTACTAAAGGGAAGTGAGATAAGAGTACTCTTTTGTGTTCATTTTAAAGAGGGTAAAATTAAGGCTTAGAGAACTTAACCACTCTGGAGGCACAGAGTAAACCCTAGAGGCACCAGGTCCTTCCAACACCTGTCAGCACTTGGGCACAGGCCTCGCCTTCTGCCAAGAGCAGCTGCAACCTGCCTTACACAGCTTGGCCTCCTAACAAGGCAAGTCCTAAACGTGGGCTTAAGGGTCTCTTCTTCTCCCTGAGTGACATCACTACAGTCCTAACAGCAGGGCATGAATGTCTGTGCACATGCACTCACGTGCAGGTAAAGCCTCCAGGGGTTCAGACTGGATCTGGAGGTACTGACCCTACGAAGCTGTAGCTCGGGCTCCAAGTCAAGGTCAAGACAGACCATTACTTTGTACTTTGGCATTGTACATCTGGAAAATGACACATGGCAGGGACTGAGCCACATTACTTTGGGGGTTCTGCCTCTGTTTCCTGCCTCGCCACATCAGGCCCATCAGGCCCCCTATGTCCTGTCTCCAGAAAATGTGCCCAGGGCCTCTCACGGCTCTTGCTCATGATTACCTGACCAGCACACTTCTCCTTGTCCTCTGGGATGGACTGGCTGCTCTTGAGCTCATTGAGTTCATGCTGGCAGAGGAGGTAGTCCTGCTCGAGCTGATCGTACATGTGCTTCTGCCACTCCAGCTGCTCTTGGCTGCACTGGTACAGCTGCCTCATCTCCTGGAGCTGGGCGTGCATCTCTGTGCTCTGGGCAGGGAGGCAGGCCCACATCATCCCAGGGTGTCCACGGCTGCACTCTCCTCTTGGGCAGGGACCTCTGGGGAACCTACCCAGTCCTTCCCAGTCCCCAGCGGATCCAGGGAATGGGTAATTGGGATCGACCAGTCCCTAACAGGCTCTGCACAGACCTTCTGAAGTTTCCTTTGGGTGGAGGTGGGGATGCAATAGAGCTTCCTTTTTATAGGCTGATCTTCTGATTTAAAGTCAAAGGAAGCTGAGAGCATGGTGACTCTCGGAGATCACCTTTCTAGTGAGCACCGCTGTGCCTCCTCACCAGCAGCGACACCCCACTGCTTCTCATGCCACTGCCCTGCCTCGCCGCACTGCCTTGCCTGTTACCTTATCAGTTTTCTCTTGGTAGCAGGCCACCACGTTCCTGAGGCGCTGCACCTCTGCCTCATGGCACCGCAGGTTACCCTGCAGCTGCTGATGCACTTCCATCAGCTGGTCCTTCTCACACGTGATGTTCTGGTACTGTAGCTGCAGCTTCTGTAGCCGGCACTGCAACTCCTACGGGCAGGGGGCATCGGGCAGGACCTCCACCATCCTCGGCCCCCTCGCTCTTCTGCCGGGCTCACTCTCCGACCCAGACAGTCTAGGTGCTGACCCCTTCCTGGCCTTCCCTCATGGCCTGCCCTCTGGCCGACGCAGGGCTGGAGGGCAGTGGGGGTCCTGCACTGCACTGCTGAGGAGCTGTTTCAACTCCGCCCACCTGCCCCAGGACCTCTCTGCACCTAAGCTGCCTCTCACCTCTGGCCACTGTTACCTTCTCGCTTGGGCTTTCTCCAGCTGAGTACCTCGTGACTTTGAGCTGTCGAAGCTCAGCCTGAAGCTCTAGCTGTGCCTTCAAGAGCTCATTCTGCTCATCCTGGCTAGCGTCATACTTTTGCTGCAGGGCACAGAGTCTGGTCTTGAGTTCCTCGTTCTGTGGTGGGGAGGATGTGACAGAACAATTACTCTCTGGAAACAGCAGGCCCCACTGCAGATGCGTGTGGTTCCTTTCCGGACGAGACATCTTGAGGTCCTTGCGTGGCTATGGTTTGGTTTCTCCTCGGAGGCAGATGCTCAATAATGACTTACCATTTCTAGAACGCAGGGCTATAAGGCGTCTCCCACTGCTCTGCAGTATCTACGCCCTGGTGGCAGGGCAGGAATCCCAAGCCGGCCTCACTCTGTGTCCTCTTCCCTGAGCAGCACTCAGAGTAGGCCCTGATCCCTCCCCCCATCAGTGTTTACCTGGGCCGCACTGTGGGAGGTCTGGAAACGAAGCACCTCATTCTGTGCACACTTGAGCTCTCTCTGCAGCCGCCTCTGCTCCTCCTCACTGGTCCGGCGATGATGTTGTAGCTCTTGCAACTCACAACATAATTCCTTGCACTGTGCGGGAGATGGAACAGGAAGGCGAACTTACTACAGGTGCTGCGTATCCAAAGGACAGGCTGGCAGAGCACAGCAGTGCTTTTGCTGGGCTGTTTACATCAGACAAGGGCTGTTTACATCAGACAAGGAAGCACTGCCTCCTGCCCTGGGGCCTGCCTCCAGGTGTCAGCTCTGTCCTGAAGATGTTTCCCCCAGCCGCCAGGGAAGGTGGGAGAGAGACAGGAGAGATGCCCCTCCCCTACCTTGTTCTGCATGTCCTGCATCTGCTCCTCGGCTCCCAGCAGCTGCTGTCGCAACAAGAGGGTTTCAGAATCAGGCTCCAGAAATTCCATTTCTGACGTCTGAGACTCTGCCGATATCATCCTCCTCAGTGTTTGGGACTCCAGCCACCTTTCTGTTGCTCTTCGTGTCCTGTAACCCAGAACCCCAAAGCCATGTTTGGGAGAGAGCTCGGTCTCGCATCACCCGCCAAGGGTGCTTGGCAAAGGAGCTTCCTACTGTGATTAACCGCTCAAATAAACACACTTTGGGGATTACACAAAAAACCCTGGACACCTCAATCTGGCATCCCTCAGAGTGCTCATCTGGCTGGGTCTGAGCTAGGTCTGTCAGGCCAGCTCCAATCTGGAGGGCACTCTGCATCAGATTGAATCAGGGAGCTCAAAGGAATCACTTCTGATCTACTCAAGGGCAGGGCAATGAAGGTCTAGAATGGAGGGAAACTAAATTTTGGAACTCACTCAACTCTAGTCCTGAGACAGAGGGATTGGAGCTCCACGCCTGCTGCTATGATATCCATATCCTGTGGACGTCACAGAAAGGACTGCAGAGCTTTCCAGGCACAGAGGGCCGCCCATGAGCCTGGTGCTGCCTTTGCCAACTCTACTCAGAGAAAAGTCCCGAGTCCCACAAGCCTGCGGGTCATACCTCTCACTCTCCAGATCTGCAAGCTGCCCCGTGAGGCTGCTGTTACTCTCCTGCAGGGCCCGGTACTCCTCATTCAGGAAGCGGTAGCGTTCCCGTAGTTGCTGCAATTCTTCTGCAGAGGACAAAGCAGAGAGGGGTGAGACCCCAAGGAAGAAGGTGCTGACGACCAGCCCCCAGTTCTCCTGCCTAGAACTCTTGACAGCAGAAGGCTGAATAGCTTTTCTTTTTCTAAAGATAGAAGAGATACCACGTGCAGAGGCTTAGAAGACAGGGCCCAGAGAGTTCCATGCTGCAATGGGTCTTCACCTCTGTCAGGTAGCTGCCCCCTTTTCATCTTTCCAGAAGACCTGCCCTGTGTACTCATCTTCAAAACCCAAACCCACTTAGAGTCTAGCAATTTTAGGAGCTTGTAAATTAATTCAAGTTTTTGGTTTGGAGTATTTATGGTTCCCACTGAAAGGTTTGTAATTACCTTCCTATTACACCTTCAGTGCAAAGAGCTGAGAGATGTGAACTGCCAGATGCCATGCTGCCAGCCTTGGGCTTTCAGAGGAACCCAGGCATTCTGAATTTGCTTTTACTTCCTTTATCACCACACTGAGTACACTGGCCTGGGTGTGGCGAATAATTCTTTGCAATGATCTTTTATCTGTTGACAGAAAGGTCCATCCCCAGCAGACCCATGGCATCCTCAAGTATCAGCAGGACCCTGGCTGAAACGTCCTAGCAGGTGTCCCTAACTACCAGGTCCCGATCATTTTTAATGCTGCCTTAATACAAACCCCTGATCTGTTTTGATTCTTCACTATTAAGAGTTATTTCTCTTAGAACACTAATTCTACAAATGTTTATAAAGAACACTACCTTGTTCTAGCTAGAACACAAAGTCTAGCCTTATCTGCCTAAGATTCAACATCCTGAAAGTTACTTCTAATGTTCTCTCTCTCTCTCTCTCTTTCTCACTGTCTCTTTTATATATCCAAGAGAGCAGGTTTATTATATAAAAAAGGAAAGGACTTTGCACAGACACAGGAGGGCAGAAAGAGCTGCTAATGTTCCCTCTTTATTCCGATATGAAGTCCCTTGAATATGGGGATTATCAGAGGAGGAAGGAAGGAAACCTATCTTTAATGAAAACAGGCTTGAAGGTATCAGCCTGGGATTCAGTTCTTGTGTGCGTGCTTTCAGCATGCGATGCATTCCATTTAATTAGCCCAGTAAGGTCTTTTTCCCTTTCCTTTTAAAATCAATAAATTTTTAATTTTAGGGTAATTTTAGATTTCCAGAGAAGTTGCAAAGATCACACACAATTCCTTGGGCGAGTTCTCACCTGGTTCTCCACCCCCCCACCCCCACTGTTAACTCCTAGATATATTGGTCAGACTAAAGCATCTACATTGTTGGTACATCATTAACTAAATTCTACACTTTATTCAGAGTTCTCTACATTTTCCCTAAGGTCCTTTTCCTGTCCCAGAATCCCATCTTGCTATAAAGTTTCATTAACCAACTTATCTCTAGGTATGGAAACTGCGAGGTTCGGAGAGGTAACAACCAGACTAAGCTCATTCTGCTGGTCGGGGGAGCCTAGATGCTCAGGCCTGTTTAACTGGACCGAGCCTTCCCACGGTGGGCGCTGGTGGGTGCTGGCTTCCTCTCCTAACACCCCGGCCCAAAGGCTCTTCTGGGAGGCTCATTACAGTCGGGAAAACTTGCAATTCTTTGATTCCTTGTTGACTGCCTCTGCTTGACCTCACCTAACACAGGGCATCCCATTAAACTTGGATCATAAATCTAGCCTCAGAAGAAAGGCAAACTCTCTGATGTCATGAATCCTAGCAACCAGCTGGGAGACGCACTGTCTGGAAGCAGAGCTCTCTGAGTCCCTCATGCATGACTCAAACTAACCTTTCTTTCTCTCCAGCTGTCTTGTGCTCTGATTTGTTGCTCCCTAGTGTCCGCTTCGGGGAGGGCTAACGACACCTAAGACTGGAACCCTGAGGCCTCAGTGCATGCCTCCCCACCCACAGACTGGTCCAGGCAAAGCGTCATGGTGCCAGGGCAGCAGGAAGGGTTCCCCAAGGTGACAAGACACCCATACTCCCATCCCAGAACCCTACACTTCCTAGCAGGGCTTTCTCATAGTCAAATCAATAAATGCCTCGGGCTCTCCAAGGAAGCATGCTGGGGTACATCTCCAGGTTGCTGATTTCTCACACCACTGTTGAGCAGTGTGTGCCCTCAGGGAAAGTTTTTCTCCTTTATAGTCTCGAATTTGACCTGGAGATTTTTTCCCAGCAGTTCCCAATTCCTGAGCTATACCCACCATCCCCCATCTTCTTGCATTACTGCCTCACTCTGCTTGACTTGAGAGACTGGCCAGGAAGAGGGTTTGCTCTCTCCTACCTTGCATCTCAGAGAAATCTGAGGCACTTAAGCTACTGGATGGGTCAGAGTTCTTCATTTCCATTTCCGCCCGCAGGGAGGTGATCTCCATCTCATACTCTCCCCGAATGCGCTCCATGTCATAGAGTTCATTCTGCATCCGACAGAGATCCTCCTGCAGCGATGCTATGTCACTCTCATGCTCAGTCGCCGAATCCTCTGCTGCTTGCCGCAGGTTCCGGATCTCAGTATGGGCCAAATGCAACTCCTGTTCTATTTCCTTAAGTTCACTTTCTTTTTCACGCTCCAACAGGGATATCTCCTCCCGCAGAGACCTCAGTTCACCTGCAAAGCCCAAAGTTTGGGATGATCAAAAGCACAAGTGAACAAATTTGCCATGTTTTAGAGGTCACAAAGTTCAAGGGAGACTTATTTTTTTAATCTGGAAACTCCTGACAATCTTTTCTCTACCCAGTCAGAGAAGTATACCTCCATCTGTTACGGAATAAGGGGATACCTAGGATGCGAACAGAGAGCGAATCTACGCAGTATGAAGATTCACACGGGGAAATACCCTAACGGCCCATCACTAAGGTATTGTCTAAATACCTTAATGGTTAAACAGAACCTCACAAGGCCATTTCAAAGAAAGGGGCAGATCTAATGAGAAGATGTGAAAAGCTTTCTATAATATATAGAAAAAATGAGATTTTTGCCAAAAATATTTATATGTATAATATATAACCTGCAAATATACAAAAACATACAAGAGGTTCTGGAGAGATCTCAGTCCCAAACCATGGGTTACCTCTCAGGAGTGAGATGGCAAGTCATAGGGGGTTTTACTTTCCACATCACATACATCTGTGCTATTCGAATTTCACAAGCCCATGTTTTAGAATACCTTTTAGTGTATAAAAGAAACGTGTTGGGGGCCTCCCTGGTGGCGCAAGGGGTTAAGACACAACCTATGAAGCTATCTGCAGCCACTTCAGCACAAGTTTGAGCCCCGGCCAGGGAGCTACCCTCATGGCACAGCAGACCTCTCCTGCCTCACCCGCTGCTTCCCTCAGCAGTGTATTTCAGTCAGTCTGCCTGTTCTGCTCCCCACTTTGTCTCTGGTGAATCCTTTCACCCCCACCTCTGGCCTGTACCCCAGTTCTTGTGTGCATAAATAAATCTTAAAAAAAAAATACAAACGTGCAGAGCTCTCGGTACGTGTGGGGTATCTCAGGGCTTCTGGACATAATTTCCCATCTGGGACCAAGAAAAACTAAACCTACAAAGTGAAGGTCATGACACCAATAGGCAATTCAGGATTTGGGAGCCAGGATCAGGGAATTAATCCTGGATCAATGAGGATTAGATTGGGAGAGTCAGGACCTTCCCACAAACCCTTTGCAAGGTACAATATCCTCATCCCTTAAGCCCAACTCCTGCTGATTCTACTCACCATTCAGATTTCAATTTTCTCTATCCTCTCCTACTTCCTCAAAAAACCAAACAAAGCCCTCTATTAAATGTTCTCATAGCACCTTGTCCTTTTCAGTGTGTGTGTATGAAACTGTTGGTCTCCCCCTCAGGCAGGTACCAGCCTCATGTAGGCAAGGAACTGTCTGGCCCACCATGAGAGGAAACCTTCCAGCATGTCCTAGTGCCTGGCATAATTCAGCTCAATATATACTTGCTGTGTGCATCCATGAGAGAGGCACGGGGGCATCTATTTAAGAAACTTTTACCGAGCATCTGTACCCACAGAACCACGTGTTAAGTTTTTTGTTTTTAAGTTAGGATGGAACACAGATGTCTGAGAAGAAAAATTTGGAAACACTGCAGAGAAATGCTGAGCGGACAAGGCTCCGGGGGCAGGTCTTCTGCCCCTCTCTCCCAAGCCCACAAGGGCAACTTCTGGCACCTCCTCTGCCTGCCTTTCCTTCTCTCCTTGCCTGTTCCACAAGAGCGAGTGGGTCCTCAACTCTGTGCCAAGCACAAGCATCTCCACTTAGATTCTCTGACCTCCTTGGAACAAAGCTCTTGCTGCATCCCCCTCACTAAACATTACTGAACAGCACAGAGGTGGTTCCCCTCTCCGAGCTTACAGTCTAGTGGGGTACACCCACAAATCGTACCCCAAATCAACTGGCCATTAGGATAAAGGCCCTATGGTGCTTACAGTGGGCTGAGGCCATGGGGCTGACCGACCTCCACTTTCCTACCAGCACGTAATGTGAGGGTTTAGCTGCCCTTTGGGGTCAGGCCCTTTCAAAAACGGCTTTCTCGGATCCACAGGGACACCCCCACCCCACCCCCTCCACCCCACCCCACCCCCCTCCACCCCACCCCACCCCCTCCACCCCACCCCACCCCCCTCCACCCCCCCTCCACCCCCCCTCCACCCCACCTCAAGCCCCCTCCACCCCACCTCACCCCCTAGTCTAAGAGAGGTCTAGATTAGGAAAAGGGGTGTGCCTGACAGAGGGGAGAGGGGAGGGGCTTGTCCCGGAGCTGGGCGGGGCGACCCTGGCCGGGAGTTGGTTGGGCCCCGACTCAGATTCTGAGGAGCCGGCGCCGGTTGACCCGGGGCTGGGCCCGTGTGGGCGAGGCTGGGAGCCCGGGCGCCAGGCTGTGGGGCACCGGGGTCGGTCCTCACTCACTGGTTATAGCCTCCATCTCTTCGGCCCCCCCGCAAGCGGTCTCTCTGGGGGGCCTCCAGCCACCGGCGGCTCCCCGCCCCCGCGGGGCTGTGGCGGCCGGAACGGCCTCCTCAACACCAGCTACCACTGTGGCCGCGCGCGCCCCCTCTTGGCGGAAACGGGCGACGCGCGCGCGCAAGAACGGGGTTGCGCCCCCGGCGGGCTGGGGCGTGGGGCCTTCGCCAGGCCAACAGACACCGTCCTCACCCACCCCCACCTCGCCTTTAAATTTAATCTGGAGCCCCTAAAGAGTGGGGAGTTGCTCTAAAACTTTGTTTTGCCAAGTACTTGCCGGCCTTCCCTCCTGTCTGAAAGGAAGACGCCCTTCTCCAAGAAAAGGTCTCCCCACCCCCACTGGATCGTTTTCTTCGTTACACAAATATGATGTAGTGTGCCCTAGCTCAAAAAACAAAACCAAATAATCTCTCTTAGCTTCATTTTCCTTTCCTTATTGCTCTACTCTTCAAAGCGTGACTACTGGAGTATGTGTACCCACGTCCACTTCTTCAACCCAAGTCAACCAGGCTTCTGTCATCACTGACTTCTCAAAGCCCTGCATCTTGCCAAACCCAATGGCCATCTTACTTAGCAACTTTGGACACAGTTGATCACTATCTCCACAAAGCACTTACCTGCTCATGGTTTCCAGGGCATGAAATGCTTCAGTAGTAGCTCCTACCTCAGCCTCTTGGTTCATTTCTCCTATACTCGACCTTTAAATACTTGAGTTTCTGTGGGACTGGACCCTTTTCTCCTCCTATATTTTCCCATGTGATTTCAAGATCTCACATGGATTCAAAAAGTCTCAATAAATGCTAGTGACTTCCAATTTTAATCTCCAGCCCTGATTTCTCACCTTGTTCTAGATTCATACATACAACTGTCTCCTTAGTATATTTATTTAGGTGTCAATAGCCATTTCAAACTCAACATGTCAAAAATATCTTAAATGGCTTCCCTAGTCCACAAACATGTTCTTTACCAAGTCTTCCCAATCCCAATAAATGACACCATCACTCATCCAGTTTCTCAAGGCAAAGTCATTTCCATGGCTCTGTTACCCACTCCCTCCCTCCCTGGCACTTCAAATTTGTCTGGAATCATTGCCATTTCTGCTGCCCTAATCAAAGCAACCATGTCTCTTGACTAACTTGCTAACCAGACTTACTGTGTTGACTCCTTTCCCTCCATCCGACTTCCATATAGGAGTCAAAGTGCTCTTTTAAAAACATAAAGCAGATCATATTACCCTAACCCCATTGAAGATCTTCCCACATCTTTCCACTAAAACTAAAAGCCAACCATCTCAGCTGATCTATAACTTCTGCCTGCTTCTCAGAACTCTCTTTTACCAGGGTCTTCCACATGCACTTTGCTTCAGTAACATTGGCCTTTGTTCTATCCTTCAAACTCTTGAGGCTCATTTTTTCCTTTGAGCCTTTGCAGTTGCTGTTCCTTCTGCCTGGTGTGCTTGTCCCTCAGATCTTTGAATGACTAATTATTTCTCATTATTCAGGTTTTAGCTCAAATGTCATCCTCTTCAGAGGACTTTTCTAACAAAAATAAATTCCCATCTCATCCTATCTCTCTAAATAATTGTTATATTGTCTTCATAGCAATTATAGTCACCTAAATTTGTTTCTCTGCCTCTCCCCATTAGAAAATACTCTTCATTAGGGCAGGGATCTGGTCTGTCTTTTCATATCTGGCTCTTCAAATATATAGACACTCAACAAATGGTTGACAAACAGATGAATTAGCCCTGTTTTACAGATATGAACATGCATCTCAAAAAGATAAAAGTGACTTGCTTAAGATCACTAAGCTGGGCCTCCCTGGTGGCACAGCGGTTGAGCACTGGGTTGCAAAGCTGCCCGCAGCCTCTGCCGCGCTGGTTCAATCCCTGGCCGCTGGCGAGGGTCCCACATGGCGCGCAGACCTCTCCTGCCACCCGCTGCTCCCCTCAGCAGTGTATTTCGTCAGTCTGTCTGTTCTGTTCCCCGCTCTGGCTCTGGTGAATTCTCTTACCCTCCCGCACTTCTGACTGTACCCCAGTGTTTGTATAAATAAATAAATAAATCTTTGGGGAAAAAAAATCACAAAGCTTGTTAAGTGGAAGAGCTGGGCTGAAGAACCTGGTGGTCTGAGACAATGCCCACGCTATCCCGGTGTGACCCCTCTCCTGCCATTTCTCCCCTCTGCCCTACCCCCCTTCACTGTACACTTTCCCTGCAGCTTTCTTTGCTTACATCTTCTTTCTGCTTCTCTAGCCTTTCCCCCCTTCCACCTTTGCTTGCTCCTGTCCAGGTTGGCTTCCTTTTATTTTCCATTTATACTTTTCTTCTGGCTTGATCTCTGTTCTCTCTGGAGAGTCCCTGCTGTTTTCTAGGGCAGCTCCCCTAAACCTCCCGGAAGCCCACAGAAGTAACAAAGGCTGCCTTTTTATTTGGTGGTGCAGTGCTATGTGGGATGCCTGCCTTGCTGCTTCTCAGAGACAAAGGGACGTAGGCATTAGAGGAAAGGGATCTGGGGGTCACAAGCTCTGTCCTAGGGAGAAAGAGAAGCCGTCTCATCTGCTTCCCTCAAAAAAATGCAGTTTTTCCAGTCACTTCTCATTGGCTCACTGCTCTTTCCCACGGTACCCTTGGAGGGACAGGAAAAAAAGCAGTCTGGTTTGGAATTCAACCCTCTTACCTACCCATGGCACTGGCCAGGAGAACAAAAAAAGAAAGAGGGAGGGGATGTAGATGTGAAGGAAGGAGCCTGAGGAGTTAGAAAAAGGAGTTGGGGTCTTGCTGGTGGCCTAGGGGTTAAATATTGGTGCTACCAGCCCAAAAGCCTGAGTTCGATCCCTGGCCAGGAACCTGACCCACATGGTGCAGCAGACCTCTCCTGGCCTCACCCACTGCTCCCCTCAGCAGTGTATTTCAGTAGATCCACCTGTTCTGCTCCCCACTCTGTCTCTGGTGAATCCTCTCATCTCCCCCTGCACCTCTGGCCTGTACCCCAGTTCTTCTACACAAAAAATAAATAAAATCTTTAAAAAAGAAAAAGGAGTCAAGCAGAGGGAGAAGGGGTGAAGCGGGAGGGCAAGAAAGGTCAGGGGAGGACAGAAGAGCTAGGCAGAGATGCAAGAAAGAAAGGGATTAGGTAAAGAGGAGGGCCGAGAGGCAAGGAGAACAGGATGAGAATAGTTGGGGAACATGAGGAGAAAGTGCATAATGGGGTTATTTTTGTCTGCTGTGCTTCAGCCAAACCCTCAGGACGAAAGTACTTGTCTGGCCACCTCCCCTCTGGGTCCAGTGCTGTGAATCACCTTGGAGCTGCTGGATCTGCTTGGTGAACACCTCTGCCTGCTGGGCGCTGGCCAGCCGCTCGTCCTCCAGGAGCCCTGCAGCAAGAGGGGCGTGGGCTTCAGGCCTTGGTCCAGGGGCGCACAGAGCCTTTGGGCCCAGACCCTCTGGTGCCAACCCCACCCCCGGCACTCACCCTGCAGCTCCAGGGAGTCGTCCTCATGCTGCCCCGCCAGCTCCCGGGTCTCCTCCAGCTCCGCCACCAGCTGTAGCACCTGAGCCCTCAGCTCCTCCAGCTCCGTCTCCGTGAGGCTCAGGCCCCGGTGCTTGCCCGCTGACAGGGAGCCCATACTGCCCCCTTTCTGCACTTGGTCTTCTTCTTCCTCCCCCTCCTCCTCCTCCTCCTCCTCCTCTTCCTCCTCATAGAGAGCTGGGAGTAACACCTCTCCTAGGAGACACCCCCACCCCGCAGGCAAGTCAGACCTTCCCCGGCTTCCAAGCTCATTGTCCCAGGGCAGAGATGGTCTAACAGTGCCACCTGGTGTCCCCCAAGGAGCCCCTGGCGGGACCTGATGAGCCTTAAGGTGTGAGGGTAAAGTTTGGAGGTAGCCCAGCCTCCTTCTAGCCCTTTTCGGGTCATTACTTTATCTCATGGCCTCTTATTAATGCCTTTAAGCAAACTGAGCACCAGGTGCTGGTGCAGCCTGGGAGGCTTGCAAAGGACACCTGCTTCTTGCTATCCCTGAGTAGGCAAGAAAGAATTCAGACACTGGGCGTGTCACCAGGCTAGCTGGGGTAAGAGTTACCGTTTTGGAGGTTTGTGGAAAGTTAAGAAATTATCCAGATGGCTAGTGAGAAATTAGCTTTTCCATAATAAGAAAGCAAAGCCTGTCAGCAGGTAGAGAAAGAAAACATCTGAATGAAATGATTCTAAATGTCTTGCGGAACAAACACAGGGTCCCTTTCCAATTGATTCCATCAACTGGCCTTTTTGCAATTTGCTGCCATCAAATGGTCTCCCCCTGAGCTACACCCCCCCAAACCCACCTTGAAATTTTCTATAAGGTCCACCTCCCTTTTCCCTGCTGACAGTGAGAGGCCTCTTCTCCCTTCCTGCTGAACACAAGTCCATTTTCAGGGAAAGTCTGAAGTTGTACTTGGGAGTGAAAGAAAACCTGCCATTTTAGCTCAGTAAGAAACTGGGGTATGCTGGTCCCCAGCCTCTGGTTGGCAAGCACCCCCTCCTTTGCTGCAATGCAGTTCCTCTAATAGCAAAATCTTGCTTGGATGGTGATTGTTTGCTTTGGTTTAAAATTCTGACTTTGATCTGCCTTTCTGTAAGAACATAAGAACAGCAGCATCTTAGGATCATCTGGGACCCCCTGCAGCATCTGTCCCCCTTGGGGGAGCGGCCTTGCCTACATTGAGTGTGCATTAGGGCCTGCAGACACTTCACAGAAGTCCTGGAAAACAGACCAGCATCCTTCCAGGGGCCTGTGTGGCAGCAGCTGCCACGTCACATGGGCGCGGTGGGGACACGTGTGTCTGGAGGCTGGCCTCACCTGCCCCCTCCCGGCCCCCTCTTTCAGGCAGCAAATGGCCTAGAGAGCCGAAGCCACCAGGTCTCCATCCTAAGTTAGTGGTGGCAGCAGGAGAATGACAGTCCACATGTTCCCTTCCCCGCTTTTCAAATTAGGAGGCAGCTCGGGATCTGGGTCGAGGCAGTGGGAACAAACCCCCTGCTGCAAGGCCGCTTCAAAGCTCTGCCCACAGGCCTCTTTGTCTGGCAGCTCCCCCAGGACACCCAACCTGGTTATCTGGGGGGAGGGCCCCAAAGGGATGCGCTCTGAACTTCCCCAAAGCCGGAGCCCAGAGGAGGGTGGAGCTCAGACCTGGCGGGTGGGGAGGGCTGAGGTGAACTGGGGGAAGGGCTGGGTCCTGACTCAGAGTTCTGGGGGTCAGGGGGAGCAAGGAAAGTGGGAGAAAGGGAAAGAAAGCTTTCTGAGAACACTCACCCTCCATAGCCTGCATCCCTCGCCGCTCCAGAGACCCCCATCGCTGCCCTATCTTCCTCTCACAACCCTCGGACACCTCATAGGAGCCCAGAGTGGTCACCGTGGGTCCTGTGAGCAGGAGAAGAGGAGGGACTGTGGGCCGCTAGAGGTGGTTGGGGGCTGGGGTGCAGGGGAGAGAAAAGGGGACACGCCTTCTAGCTTTTGGAGCCCCGGGTTTGTTTTTTCAACCCCAGTGGGAGTGCTTGGTGCCCTCTGCCCTGCCCGGGGCTGACTCGCCACCTCAGTCCCCTCCAGCTGGGCCAGAGGGGGCCGCACCCTGCACCGCGCACCTCAGCACCCCCTCTTCCCGGCTCCTCGCCCTTGCGCAGAGGGGACAGGGAGATGGCATGTCTGGGAGGGAGGGAGCGACCGTGCAGAAGGAACTGCGAGGGAGCGAGGTGGTGCGGGCGGCAGGTGTTACGGGCCTGAACCCCCCGCGCTCTCGCGCCTCTCCCGGGCCCTCGCCCCCACCTCCGGCCGGCTCAGAGCCGCGGGTCAGGCACAGGGCGGGATCTGCGCCCCCAGGGCCCGCAGCACCAGGGCATGGAAAGGGCTCAGGACGGGGCCGCCGGGGAGGATGCGGCCGGCGGGGGCGAGACCCGGCCCGGAAAGATGGAGCCCGGGCCGGGGGGGCGGGCTGGAGGGCGGCGGACTCTGGACGCGCCGGGGGCGCGCGGCGCAGGGGCGCAGGCGGGGGGCTGCAGGGGGGCGGACGCAGCCCGGGGGGGAGTGGCGGGGAGGGGGAGGGGCGGCTCTGACCTGCGCCCGGACAGCTCCAGCCCGCGGCTCCCGCGCCGGCCCCGGCGCCCGCCTCCATGGCCGCTCTCGCCGCCGCCCCGAGCCGCCGCCGCAGCGGAGAGGCCGGGGACCCGGAGCCGGGCGCGCGGAGGGCGGGCCTGGGGCGGGGCCTGGGCGGCCACCTGACGCCGCCCCGCCCGCTCGCCCGCCCCGAAGCCCCCCCTCCGCGCGGGGCCCGGGTCCGCGCCGGGGCGCGTCCAGGGCGAGCACCCCGCGCCTCCCACCGCCCGGCGGAGGAGATGGGGGCGCACCCGAGCTGCGCGGCGTTTGCGGCCCCGCGGGGGCGACCCGCTCCCCAGACTCTGGCCGTGGTGCTGCCCGGCCGGCCCCGCGCAGGGGCGCCTGGTGAGGGGCGCGTGCCGCCCCCAGGGGAGGGGGGAGGCAGGACGAGGACGGACAAACCCTCCGGGCCTGTTTCCTCCACGCGCGCAGACCCCCGCGCCGCCCTCGAGCAGGGCCGGCGCCCCCCACTCTGCTGCAGCGGACCCGGCCGGCCGCGCCCCAGAGGCGCGCGGGGGGCAGAGGAGGGAAGCCCGGGCCGGAACGGGCCAGCGGCGAGCCCTGCTCCCCACGCCCCGCGCCAGCTCCCGGCCTGAGCCAGCCACCCTCTGCGGAGGGGCTGCTCGGGGGCCCCACGCCACCTCGGGTGCCCAAAGACCCCTCCCTCCCTCCACGCCCCGGTGTGGGCTTGGATCCAGGCCCCCCACGCACCCTGCCCCCGCACAGGGGGGGCACTGTTGATGTTCACCCTCGTGCCAGGGCGATGTGGGAGCCTGAGAGAATATTCCCCGTGTTCAGTCACTCCTTCCAGGGATGGCCACCGTGTGCCGGAGCTGGATGAGGCAGGGGCTCGCCTATCAGCGCAGGGCTCAACCAGAAAACAAGATTGGGGCGCGGGCATCACCGCACCCCTATGCCCTGAGCAGGTCCTGCTCTGCTCCCTCTCCCCCCACTCTGTCCCTCTAGGGCAGCACCAGCCACTTTGGGTTGCCAGGGTCAGTTTCTACTTTTCTGTCTGCCCAGTTTCTTGGAGGTTGGGGAATATCTTCGTACCTCCAGCATCTGACAAAGTACCTGACACAGGATAAATGAGCAAAGGTAAATCTCCAGCTGCACCGGTAATGCTGGCTTGTCATGTCACATGATTTCCACTGGTGGAATTAAATGTTACTGAGTAACTATAATGTTGCCATCTCAGTCTCTCTTTTTCTCCCCGGCTCTTCCCTCTTTTTTTTTTTTTTTCCAAAGATTTATTTATTTATTTGTACAAGAACCGGGGTACAGGCCCTTGTGCGGGAGGGTGAGAGGATTCACCAGAGACAGGGCGGGAAACAGCATAGGCAGACTGGCGAAATACACTGCGGAGGGGAGCAGCGGGCGAGACAGTAGAGGTCTGCGCGCCATGTGGGACCCTCGCCAGCTGGCCAGGATCGAACAGTGCTGCAGAGGTTGCAGACAGCTTCGCTCAACCCCCTGCACCACCAGGGGAGGCCCTCTCCGCTCTTTTTATCCACTGTCATATTCCCCAATCAGAGATGGTGAGCACAGATCAGGCAGGTTTCATTTGTTCCCTAGAGGACAGGATTCCTCTCTGGATCCGGTGTTAAGGTGACCCAGCCGGGAAGACTGTTGGGCAAGCCCCCCCAGCCCCCTTCCAGAAGGTCTGCTCCACATATGGGGCCTGTTCAGACTTGGAGAGCAGGGCAATTGTCAGGGCTGGTAGAAAGCGGTTGGCATTGGGAGGGTGGGGGCCAAGATCTCAGCGGCATGCCAGACCCTAAAGCTGGAAAACCTTTGTTCTGCCCCAGCAGAGCTTCCTCTGGTTCTGGCTCAACCAACAGGGTTAGTCAGCAGTTGACCTTGACTGCTGACCTTTTGGCTGATGGAGGGAGGGACAGGGGTGGAAGTTGTCACCTCTGACATTCAGGGCGCCAAGCTCTCCTCACAGAGCTCTGATCATGAGTATTAGTACTAATCTCCCCCTGGTTTCTGAGATGCTGGTCATCATGCACTCTTGATTTGGGGTGCATTCAGCAGAGACCTAAATCAGTCTATTTTCAGGACCCCCATTTAGTCAGCCCAGTACTGTATTGAAGATGGGCTGGAACTCAGAGGCAAGAGGTTGTTAGTTATGGGGTGGAGGGGATGGTGGCCCCACGAAGCCCCTCTGAAGGGCCAGGAGTAGTGGGGATGTCAGCCAGGTGATCATCTTTGGGGGATGATCTCAACTAATACTTGTAATACCTGGATTGGGGCTCAACCTCCTTCCTAATCCCAGCCCAGCAGATTATCTTCTCTGAGAACTGATGCAGCCATTTATCCCTCTTTACCCTTATTTCTAAATGCCTAGATCCTTTCATTAAAAGAAAAAAAAAAGTGAGTCTTTTAAACATGCAGAAAAGAACAGCACAGAGAGTAACATAACACCCATGTGCAACCAAGAATTCCGACAACTGTTCATTTTTTGTCACATTTGACTCAGAGCTAGCTCTTCTCTTTATGGCTGTACAGTTTTGCTTTATGTGTATCCACAAACAATACAGAATATTGATCTGTATGTTTTTAAAATCTGAGTGGTGTTATATGGTACGCACTCTTCTGAAACTTTTTTTTTTTTTTTAAGATTTATTTATTTATTTTATTTTATACAAGCACTGGGTACAGTCAGAAGCACGGGAGGGTGAGAGAATTCACCAGAGACAGAGCGGGGAGCAGAGCAGGCAGAAGGACCGAAGCACACTGCTGAGGGGAGCAGCGGGCGGCAGGAGAGGTCTGCGGGCCATGCGGGACCCTCCTCTGGTGGCCGGGGAGCAGCCGGGGATTGAACCGGCGCTGCAGAGGCCGCGGGCAGCTTCGAAACCCAGCGCTCAACCGCTGCGCTACCAGGGAGGCCCTCTTCTGAAACTTTTTTCCTCAATCTTATTATTTCATGTAGTTCCTGTTTATGAATTTTTAAAAAAGATTTATTTACTTAGGCATACAAGAGCTGGGGTACAGGCCAGAGGTGCAGGGGGTGAGAGGATTCACAGAGACAGAGTGGGGAACGGAACAGGCAGACTGACTGAAATACACCGCGGAGGGGAGCAGCGGGCGAGACAGGAGAGGTCTGCTGCACCATGTGAGTTGGTCCCTGGCCGGCTGGGCATTGAAATCATGCTGCAGAGGCTGTAGATTGCTTCATAGTGCAGTGCTTAACCCCTTGTGCCACCAGGGAGGCCCTTTTCATGAATTTTAACTGCTGATTATTTCTTTATTTAAAAAATATATAATTCATTTATCTATTCTTCTGCTCACAGGCATTTTGACTATGTCTGGTTTTCAGCATTAAACCAGGGCTGCGAGAGGCAGGGCTGTGCTTGCTTCTGGGATGCTGGTCATCATTCACTCTTGATTTGGGGCATATATGCAAGTCTGTCTCTAAGGCACAGGCTGAAAAATAGAATCTCTGGCTCATAGAATATGTATACTTTAAACTTTACTAGTTATTGCAAATTGCTCTATAAAATAGTTGGACCAATTTATACCCCAGTAACAGCAGTTTTATGTGTCTTATTTATCCTTTGGAAGTTATACATTTTATATCCCTTTCTACTCCTTCAGTGATTACATACATACTATATATATATATTTCTTGTCTCTAATAATTTTAAGTATCTTATTTATTTATTTATTTTACATATTGTCCTATTATGTACTGTTCTTGGAGTATTCATTCTCTGTTATTTCTGCTGATTCTTCCTTATGGTGGGTTGCTTCCTTGTCTACAATATTTTACAATATTTATTGTGAGCTCTTCTTAAGCAGGAGCTGTGTGTGTGTGCACACATGTGTGCACACATTTAAATGAGAGTTCCATACCACACAGCCACAAGGAAGCAAGATAGTTCCTTGTGGCTGTGTGGTATCCCTAGGGATTTCAATGGTTCTCAATTTATATTTAATTTTATATTTAATTTTTCTGCTTGAGGATCAGCATCATGCAGATAACACAAACCCGGCTGGAATACAAAAACTTAGTCAGGGATCACTTGTTTTTCTGCCCCTTTTCTCTACTTCCTTGGTCTTTCTACTTTCTTGGACTGGCCTGTGTTGTTTTGGTCTTTTCAGGGAGAAGAGAGATCTTTGATATTCTAAGTCTTATTGGGGGGCTGGAGGGTGGGGGGACAGGGCAGCATTCAGTCCTAGCTCCTTGTCTCTGGTTCCTGAAATCCACCATGGGCCCCTGTGACAGGCTCTTTTTCTCTTTTCTTTGGTCTTGTCTTCCTTCTTTCTTTCTGATATCTGGGAATTTGCTTTTTAAAAGTATATTTTGTGGGGGGCCTCCCCTGGTGGCGCAGCGATTGAGCGCTGGGTTACGAAGCTGCCCGCAGGCTCTGCAGTGCCGGTTCAATCCCTGGCTGCTCCCCGGCCACCAGAGGATGGTCCCATATGGCGCGCAGACCTCTCCTGCCGCCCGCTGCTCCCCTCAGCAGTGTACTTTGGTCCTTCTGCCTGCTCTGCTCCCTGCTCTGGCTCTGGTGAATTCTCTCACCCTCCCGCGCTTCTGACTGTACCTAGTGCTTGTATAAATAAAATAAAAAAATAAACAAATAAAAAAAAAAGTGTATTTTGTGGGCCTCCCTCGTGGTGCAGTGGGTTAAGTCTCAGCACTATCAAGCTATCACCAGCCTGAGCCCCAGCCCCTGCCCCAGCCACTGTGGCATGAGTTCAATCCCCAGCCAGGGAGCTACCCATATGGCACAGCAGACCTCTCCTGTCTCCCTTGCTGCTCCCCTCAGCAGTGTGTTTCAGTAGATCTGCCAGTTTTGCTCCCCACTCTCTCTCTGATGAATCCTCTCACCCCCTGCACCTCTGGCCTACACCCCAGTTCTTGCATGCATAAATAAATATAAATCTTTAAAATAAAAATAAAAATGTATTTTGTGACTGTATTTTTTTCTTTTATTTTTATTGAGGTAACATTAGTTTACAACATAGAGGTTTCGGATGTAGAGTTGCTTGAAGCGTGGTCTCAGAGATGTTGGTTGGGTAATGACAGAGTTATATTATTAGTTCATTCTGTCAT